ATGTCGTATCCTGGTTCTTTTAATTCTTTTCCACCACACACTCTCTGATGGATGGTGGCGAGGGAGAACGGCAGCTGCTCGCCACTCTGCTGTTATTAAAGTGCTGCTTTTCGTTGTCTTGGACAATGGGCTGGTTCTTTGCTCCAGCCAGCCAGGGACCTGATTAGCTCGAAAATTAGGATTTAAAATTTAATATTGTGCTTTTTAGAATGAGCTGGGTGGGGGTTTTTTCTCTTCTATATTATTTTACTGGAAATTTTTTTTTAAGAAAATGCCTACGGGTGTGAAGAGAGGAGTTGATCAGGACGGTGCCAAGAACGAAGTCAATAAACTGGAGTGAAAATCCAGTTTCCCCATCTGTGCGAGCGCTGTGAGAGACATCAGTTTCTAGCATCTCCCGTCCATCCTCACTGCTTTGGCTGTCTGTCCCCCCTAGTCTGGTTACCGCTGTAACTGCTGCCTCACTGAAAACCTCACCAACTCACATTTTACAGCCTGTATGTGCATGCACACATGCCAACGTGTGCCAAAAGTATTTCGTCATCATTAGGTGCTTTTTTGCACGCCCTGGGTATGGTCCTGGACTGCTGTGGGTCTGCACGGCTTCACCCCAAACAGGCGGGGGTCTGTGGGGACACGCACGGCACTTCGGATTGCGGGTCTGTGCAGACCCTGCGTGCACAGTGGATCAGGCTGCCCGTGGGCGTGATGGATGCTGTGAATATTGATCACCGCTGATGAATCCCTGCTGTCCTGCTAAGTAATTACAGTGCGTTTCACAGCGGAGCATCATCCATCAAATGCTGAGCAACACTGAAGAAAAACTAATCACACCCTGGAAGGAGAGCCCCGTCTCCCTCACTTGCCCCTCCCTCCTCATCCTCACCTTTATCTGCCCGCCCTGTCCGTCCACGCTGCCTTTCTACCCCAAGCCCATCCTTCCCGGGATCAGACTCCCATCCTGAGCTGCAAAGGGGTCCTGGCTTGCTCTGAGGACACAGGCTGCCCACGGCTGCTGCTGCTGCTGCAAGGAAGAATAAAAATACAGCTCATGGCTTTCCTCCCAGCTGCTGCCCCGGCTCCAGCCCTCTGGGCACTGAAGCACTATTAAATACGTGTTGCCCGCCTGATACCCTCCCTCCTCTTCCCATGGCTGTCCCATGTCCCCGCTCATCAACACGGCAGCCCTTGCCTGGGGCAGCGTGGGGACCTTGGCTCCAGGGCTATTTTGGGAGGCTGGAGCAGGGGAGGATTAATCCTCGGCGTGGTGGCACCACTGGGGTCTGTCACCTGCCTCTAAGGAGCCGGCTCCACGCCGCTCCTTCCCTCCCTTTGCTTTTTCTCGCGCAGAAAAGCCCGAGGCCAAACCCAGGCACAGCACCCAGCATAAACTCCCCTGTCCTCACCAAAGGGGACTTGGACCCCCCCAAGGGTCTGGCTGAGTCACACACAGAGGGGAAAGTTGCCCCCCGGTGTTCTCGTGGAGCACATTTACATTGCACATATATGCTACGTCTGTATCGAAAGTGCTAATTATACTTACAGACAACTCCAAGACCCTTCTCTGGGCCTGAGACGTGACTCGTTCTTGGCCATTACCTGCCACCCCTGCACCCGGCACCTCAACAAAAAAATGAAATTCAGAAAATTAGGAATGGTTGCAGAAATTCAAGGAACTTCCCCTCCCCTTGAGCAAAACCTGCTGGCCTTCAGCATTGCCTCAACACCAACAACAAGCTGTGTCCTTCCCTGGCCAGCATGCCAAGCCAGGGGATCTCCTCGTTTTCATGGATTTTGTTTCTTCTTTTTCTGTGACTCTGAGAAGAAACATGGAGAAGCGGATGGGGCAAGGCTGGGGGCTGCACCCGAAGTACCTGACACCACCAAGCAAACACGCACCACGTCATCAGGGGGAAATGAAACTTCTCTGTCAAGAAGTTTTGCCTGCAACACTACAAATTAGTTACTGATTTCAGGCAAAGGTGCCGGCGGCAGCAGCCCCAGGAAATGCTGTTGCAGTAGCTCTGGAGGGACGTTGGATCTTGGCAGCTCCTGCAGACGCTGCTGCTGGGGCCAGATCCAGGCAGGGAAAACCCAGCTTTGCAAACTGGGACTGGAGAGAATTTGTGGTGCTGGGGCTGACAACAGGGTGGGGGGAAAGGAAGGGAAAAAAAACTGCAGGGTTTTTGCGTCTCTGGTTTCACACTCGTGGTGGAACGGAACGATACCTGCACCCTCGGAGAACAGCAGCCTCCAGCGAAACCCAGGGTCTGCCCCAAGGGGCCAAGCAGCGAAGGGGTCCTGATGGTGCACCACGGTGCAGGAGCCTGTGCAGGGAGGGAAAATGCATCTTAGGGAGAGAGACAACGCAAGAGCCCTGCTCAGGACATGAGGAACCCTCCCCAGCCAAGAGCCAGGGACACGTCGGGCTCCAGCGTCTGGCCCCACTGCCACCGCATCGCTCAGCACGTCTCCATCTGCTGGCAAATCCCCCGGCCCATGGCCCAGCATCGCAGTACCCAGACTCACTAAGGGCTGTCAGCATCACTAGAAGATGGGATTCAAGCCTCAAAATTCCCAATTCCATCCCTTCGGGGCTCTCAACCCCTGCCAGGCCAGGGGGCTGCCATGCACAGCACCCGCTGGGATCCCATCCTGCAGCACCCAACCCCATTACCCATCGCACAGGGAACAAACTCACCTCCAGGAGATGTTCAAGGCAGCACAAGAAATCCCTCCACGCATCCCTTCCCCATCACTGCTCTTTGCAACCACTTTTACGCATCTGGGATGACTAGGATGAATAAACCTCATCATGGCAAGTGATGTCCTGGACCTCAGGACAACACTAGCAAGGAAAGACTCTCTTTTTTTTTTTTTTTAATACATTAGAACATTTATTTCTCAGAGAGAAAATATAGTCTCAGACAGTCAGATTATAGTAGGTAAAATTAGCTTTTTTTTCTTTACAAGCATAGATTTTCTTATTACCTCTCTTATACCATCTGATATAAACAATTCTAGAAAGCAAATAAACTCACTTTCTACAATAAATAGAGCAATCTGTGCTTTACAGCAGACTGACAGTAACATTTAGGTCCCGTAGCAACAGCAGGATATCAGCCAATTCAAATTCTAAAATGTCATTTAAAAAAACCAAACCAGAACAAAAAAACCCCCAAATCCAAGATCTTAAAACATATACACAGGTCACAAGTCCACAGCTGAGCTACCACCTGGAAAAGTGTATGTTCCTTTAAATAAATTACACTGTGTGCATATAAAAGACCCAGCAACACAACTGAGGACTTCAAGAATGGTGACAATAGGCCTAAATAATTTAGAACAATATTTTACAACTATATACAAAACATCCTTCCCTAGCCACACTCCATAGACATTATTATTATTTTTACAAAATCCTATGCCCCATCTCTATATGTTACAGGAATCTTCCTTAAAGTGTGGTTCCATGTCCCAATGTATAAGAAGTGGTATTTTAAAAAAGTAGACCAAGTAGAAATGGCAGTGATTACTCCCCACTATTCATTATTATTATTAATTATTATTATTTTGACCCCACATTCTCTTCAGTATGAAAAAGTTAAAATAATAAAAAAATATTGAGTTCAAAAGCGAAATGATGATATTCAATCTACAATCTTGCTCTGCACCTTTGGTTCTTAAAATGGGAAAGCAAAAAGGGATACACAACAGAAGAGAGAGGAGAAATCATAAAGTCCTTGGCTAATAGAAAAGGTTTTGTCATCAAGTTTCCAAACATCAGTTGTCCCCATTTTTGCCATGCAAACCCAAAAAAAAACCCCAGGGATTGTCTGCAGAGCTGGGTTTCCTCAGGTTTTCATGGATGCCAATGCTGGGGACCCACACACCAGGGAAAGGATATGCGTGTGTGGGAGAAGGCGAAAAGGCAAAATGGTCGTGTGCTCTAGTTAGTGCTTGGTTCCAACCCAAACCGAGCCAGAGGAAAACGTTAGAGACGGAAAAAAGGGAAGAAAGGAAGAGGAGCCTTACACCAAATGTGTGTAAACCAACACAAAAGATGTATCTCCCTCCAACCCTGATCAACCTCAGTGCCTGCAAAGCTGCTCCAGCTCATTAGACACCTCCAAAATTAGTTTTTCTTCTTAAAAAAGGAAGTTATCTTTGCTTAGACTCAGTATTGTACTAAACCATGATATGAAATGTTACTGGAACAAGCACAGTCACAGAAATCAGAATTTAAAGGTGAAACTACCAAATAAATTTCTAGGACATACACACACACACATAAAAAATCAGGTAATTTGCTTCTCGTATTTAAAGCTCTGTGCATGTAAGTGTGTGCAGCAGAGGGGAAGGTTACCAAAACATCTCAAGCTTTTCTAAATGCAGTGAGAGAAATCAAACATGAAAACACTATATACGGAGGCAGAAAAATTGTAACACAAACTCCCAGCTACGACTTTTTTTTTTTTTCAATGTGATGGGACATTCAATGTCATTTAAAAAATTAAAAAGGCCAATGACGGTTAGGGTAAATTTGGCACAAGAAAGTCCAGTTGGGATTTCCATAAAGGATCCTTGTTCGGTTATAGTGGTGACAGGTTCCCGGGAATTATTCGGGGCTGGCTGACGACTTCAAACCCCCAGCAGCATGGGGGAGGCAGGGGTGAGGGACGGTGCGTGAGGTCCGAACATCTGAGTGCTGCTCTCTGCTCACTGCATCAGCTCACCTTGGCTCCGGTCACCTGGCAGCTTTTCCTAACTACCTTCCTCTTGGCCCTGTCGACTTTACATTTCACTGCCCTCCAGCTCTTCAGCGAGACACATTCAGAAAGAAGCTGGAGAGGTTTTTTTGGCACGTTTCAGGGTACTTCAAGGAGCGCTGACAGCTGCTGGGAACGGTATCCCCCAGTCAGTCAGTGCACGAGACGGTCCACTCTGCCGACGCAACGAGCGCGGGGCTGAGGAAAAGGAGAACCAGCCACCCCAACCCCTTACAGATAGCTGGACGTAACGAAGGGATGATCTCCCCGCACACGGCTCATGTGGATCATGGCTCGGTCATATGCCACTTGCACAGACTTGCGGATGCTGGTTTTTCGGCCTTCCATCATTTTTAACTTGTCCACTGTGTCGTCCACGCCGAGGGGGTAGACTTTGTCACGCGGAAGCCACTGCCTGCAGTGGAAAGGAGAGCGCAAAGCCCCGTCACCGAAGGCATCGAGAGGGGAAATGGGGAAAGAAGAGCAAACACCTGGAGGCCTCTTGCCCTTGCAATGCTACGCCTGAGCTCTCTGCAGGAGGCTGACTGCTCCGGTGTGCCTGGCTCTCCCACCCGCTGCATGGCTTCAGCAGGCCACGGAGTCTGTCCCAAAAGTTTCCGAGACATGGCCAAGTACTCCAGCCCCTCAAGCGTTCCCCACATATCTCAGCAGCAATTAGTCACTGGTTGTCATCTCCTCCCCAGGAGCACCTATACTGGTGTGATCTATTTGTTTATAATTAACACCCCACAACGATACTACAAATGTTGAAATGCCTGCATTTGACATGGAAGAGCGACCTGTAGCCAAAATGTCTTCCTGCAGGAGCATAGATGCCTCTCTCCTTGGAGTCCTTATTCAAGGCTTTCAGTGCTCCTCGGAACTCCAGGGGAAACTTGGAAACTCCTGTGTTCCACAGAGCAGCAAATACAGGGGCTTCCATGGTGGAAAGTGAGTTTTTATCCTCGAGAAAGGCTCCATGAGGCTGTAAGCATCAGCGTTTGGGTAACTACAACTATCCGAGTGTCATCCAGAAAGAGGCAGCTTCCAGCAGACACGTTCCAAGGCCAAGCTGACCCCAACGAACTGATGACTTAAACTGCAAGTGCCTTTTCTGTAGCAAGTTTTTACTGTGCAGTCATTACCCCAGGTTAACTAGTCTACTCAGAAACATGCTAGCCATCTTTCCTAAGGAAGTCCAGCCCCTAGGAGTTAAATCTCAGCCGCTGTTAGCACGGTTCAATGCATCTCCCAGCGAGCCAACATGGGCAACCCAGGGCAGCTCAGCTTATCTTCACCATGAAGACAAGGGGCCAATTTCAGTCTTTGTGACTCTTTGGCGGCATCACTGAAGTCAGCAGAATTTGGATCTGGCACTAAGAAGGGTTTTTAGGGCTTTCCTGAGGTGCCTTAGCTTCCCACAAACTGCAAACAAGGCTCTGAATGGCCACTTGAGAGTGTAAACATCCATCAGAGCTTGTCTTCAGCAAGAGCAGGGCAAAGCCAAGGAAATTCTGTTTTTTATTGGGAAGGTAGTTTCAATTACAAGTTTGGATTTAGATTTTGCAAAACTGATGACTACAGCAACAGGAAGTGTGGCACTGCCATTGATTTTCAGCTAAAAATCATTAGTACCTCTTTGAAGAACATGCCCTGTATCAAACTGTTCTGGTAATCAGGGACAGTGAAACAATGCAGTGTACTAACAAAGAACCTCAGAGCACGTCTCTCAGCACCTCTGGGAGGAAACATACTCATCAAGTGATACAAACGCGATCCCCTTCTCAGCTTCCCAAGAAAACAGCACATGCTTTTCCTTTGCCTGTGTGGTACCTTGCTTCTATCTCTTTAAACCGCATAAAACACTGTGGCAGCCCCAAAATGGAGGGGGAAACACTCCCCCTTGCTGCTTTAGCCTGCTGCTCACCTCCTTCCTCCAGCCCCTCACCCTTCCCTGATCTCGTGGTTCCGGGCTCTTCCAGGGATGTCGGCAAAGACCTTCCCCAGGAGAACAAGGAGGACAAGGGTTCTTGAAGTACCATGAGGCTCCTTTTCAAACTCTTGGTATCTTATTTTATAGAGGCAGCAGCAGCAGAGGCAAGCCTTCTCTCCTCTGTTCCCATGTGCACCCCAAAGGCCAAAATTTATTTGCTTGGTTCATGTTCCCATGTGGCATTTGCTGGTTTAAATAATCCAGTGGGTTCAGCATGCGGCTGCCTGCAGGGACTCACCTCTTCCAGCATAAAGCTCCAATTTTACAAGTTTCCCATTCTTTCATACATGGATTTCAAAGCCTTATTGCTCATTTTTAAGGCACTTCACTGGTTTGTGGCTTATTATATCTGGCTGGGTTCTTGTTACCATGTGAGCGCTGATTCTACAATCAGCAGATTCAGTCTGTCCAAGACAGAACAGTAAAAGGCCTTCAGATATTTCATGTGCCCTGAACCAGGTGCTCACATCTACATTTTCCATCTTAAATATCTTGATTTGAAAACTGCAGGTACACAGCACCTCTGAAAAATCAGGCACATCTAAATATGGAATAAACCCAACCTTTTGAAAATGTTACCCTGGAGATTTTTGGCAAATCTTTTGCGCAGCAGTGGAACTGGCTGCTCAGTCTGCTGGTGTTTTAAAGTCAAATGCCTTCTCTAATTTGCTGCAGATTTTGACTACTAAATTGGCTGTTCATGTGCCTCAGTATTGCAGTGACGTGAGCTCTGAGTGAAGGACACTGGGCTGTTGTTTGCTGTGGAAGTGCAGCAGTGAGATGGCATGCTCTTGGGCCAAGGAAAAGCAGGCTGTCTTCCTCATTTAGACTCTTCTTGGCTGCTGCATGTTTAAATTCTCCAATTTACATGTAACATCATCATCATCATAATCACTGTACGCTCCCATAACCAAAGATTATGTTAAATCTTCCCTCTCTGCCATAGCACTCACCACAGGTCCCCGCGTGTCTGCGCACACTCACCAGGTTCTCTTGTTGTCAAAGAAAAGGACAAGGAAGAGCTTTTCTCCTGCCTCTGTCTGCCTCTGCTCCCCCAGCTTCAACACATCCATGGGTGGGACTGGGATGGGGACTCCATTGTGGAGCAAACCCTCGCGCGGCATCTTAGGATCGATTATCTAGCGACACAGGGAAAGGATATTTAAGCACAAAACTCTTCAAGTACTGCAGAGTGTGCAATTTTTTTCTTCTGTTCTTTCAGCCTATCCAAGCTAGACAATTAAAATCTACTTAGGACGGGTAAGCAAAATTGCTTGCTCTGTCTCAGCGGCAATTTTTAAAGAATAGTCCTGTCCTTGAGGCTTCCCCTATGGAAGGAAAGACAGTCAGACCAAAGGTCCAGCACCCGATCTTAAAAAAGGGAAAGGACACAAGTACATGATTCTGTGTGGATGTAGATTACACTAATTGGTAATTTAGTACAAACTCAGTATTGTTGTGTTCAGCAAAGGATTTCCTTTCTTCACTCCTAACTTGTACAATAAACGTAACACCATTGCTGTACTCGGCAGGCATAATGCGATTTCACAACAGCTCCGTTCTGGGGCAATTCAGTTGACTTCAGCAGAATTGCTCAGATTTATACTGCTATTAGATCAGAATCAGGCCCAGTATTTGGAGAGAGTCAACAAGCAATGCCAGCTTTATCAGAGGAACACTGACTGTAGTCATTTTGGAGAGAAGTAACCACAGATGCATTGATTCTGCCTGTATAAAGCAGAAACGTCAGTGTCCAACATTTGTGCTATGAAATCACAGGAGAACAAAACAGCGACAGGTGGATGCAATACTGGGTCTACTCTTCTCTGCCTCCTGATCTTGGCTTTGACATTGGCCAGCTAGGAATTTATTAGGACACTTTTCCACCACAACATATAGCTGCAAAAATGCCTTTTTTGGGGGCAATCTCAGTGTTTAAAGTCACGCTCAAACACAGTTTAACTTTGGCTGTAGCCACATAATTATGTAAAAATGCTTTGGCTGGCCAACATGGCTAGCAGATCCATAGCTGTTGTCTCCTCTGGGCTCCCACTTAAGAGCAAGAGCGTGGGTAAGGGACACTCTTTTAGTAGAATCTGTCCTTTGACGGCATCAGAACTGTGCTCAGCCACAGCATACACGCTGTGTCAGCTTACGGATGGTTTCACAGCTCTGCTGCTTGGGTGTAGAGACCTGTGTAATTTCCGTGATGACTACACTTGTTTTCACTCCCTACAATTTCTCAGCAGTCACAAGCTCTGTGTGTCACAGTGATCCCAACCACAAAGACACTTAAGGGGATGGCTGCAGCCATGCAGAAATTACACGGAGCAGAGATGGCAGGAAGAGCCATGTCTCAAGGGATATATTTAAATGTAGCAGAAACAACAAAGCGTCATCAGCCTATCTCATGTTCTTACTTCCACACTTACTTCAGCAATCGCTGTTGGTAACTTAACAAGCACTTTAGAGCCTGCAGTGGTACTGGCACTTCCACACAATTGCTGCGTGTCATGTCTGGCTTTGGAGCTGAGTATGGTGCTCACTGAAGCCAGGTTTATGGATTTCACATTAATAGTTAAATATCCAAAGATGGATAAATATCAAGGAAACATCGTTCAAAGGACTAGGTGCGAACATACGCATATATTCTCATATTTAAATCAAACATATGGTTATTGCAAGAGGATACATATATATACACATCACAAGGCCAGCTGGGCACCTACATATGGAGTTGTACTCACTATATAGGAAAATGCGTGGGCAGTTAAAAGACATCAGTGGAACCTGGTGCCTGCCTGTATAAAATGTAGGTCTTCTCATGCCAACAGTAGTGATTACTTTCCCCATACTTGCAGAGTGAACAGGAGAGGAGAGGAGAGGAAAGATCTCCTCCTATCCCTGGCACCAAGAGAACAAAGTTTTATGAATCCTCTGCAACACTCTGAAACAATGAGACCAGGGAAAATTAACTGTGCAAAGGGGAAAACCAAAAAAAAAGCACATTGCATGATTCTGGGAAGTTTTCCTTTTCTTTCTGGTTATACTGAACACTAGCACTGTGTTCTGGGCTACCTGCGCTGCAAGTGCAGCCCGAGAGCGCGGCAGGGTACTTACCAAGGCAGGGTAGGAGGGATAGCCACGGCACTTGGCCCACACAAGCTCCAAGGGCTCCAGCTCAGCCTGACTCTCAAAGGACATCAGGAGAGTCCTGCCTAAGGGACAGAAGGAGACATGACTTAGGAGGGCGAGTCCTAGCAAGGGGCTGATGGTAACACAAGAAACCACACCGTCATCTAACCCAGGCACGATGGCCTGCATTGTCTCAGCTAAAACAGATGAACTACTGTCGTACTTAAAACATACTGACCACATTTGTTTTAGTTTTTTTAACCTATTTGCTTCTGCAGCAGCAGAAAACTGGAATTTTGCCTTTTTTTCTTCTTTTTTTTTTTAGACCAATCCAGCTATCCATCACACAAGAGCATACATTTAATCATTACTGTGGGCACATATGCATAATTCCAGACAATTTCTCTTAATCAAGATCTAGAGCATAATGGAAAGCCACTTATTGTTTGTACCTATATGCACTGGGTATCCAAACTAGAGGTGATAAGACACGCATCTCATCTGCAGTAAGTTTATGATAAACTTTAACGTGCAGTGAGATGCAGCCTGGCCACGGTGAACCTCCAGACTTCTCTATGCTCTGTCAGTACAGTCATGGTCTGCCTCAAGACAAAGTCACAGTCACAGCCTCCTAAATAATGGGTCTAAGTCCATGCATGCACATAGGTAGCTTCAGATGAACTCTTTAATATGGAAATAATGATCAAATTCAGATCTGGAGTGAATAGCTGCTACATCACTGAAATAAAATGGGTATACCAGAGATTCATTTGGTCCATTGAGCTCCACCAAGCCAAACCCATCCACAATGGAACTGATGAAGCTGTATCTGAGATTAATTTGGACAACTGTTCAGAGAGGTCCTTTTCATTCCTCCTAAATACAAATATCTAGACTATTCTGATGCCATATACTTTGGTGCTATTTAATCTCTGCAGGAAATGCCTGTTCTAGTTGACGGAAGTCTATTAGCCATTAATTTTTTCAAACTAAAGTCAGAAGTATTGCAAAAGATCTGTTCAAGACATGAATAACTAATCTAATAATAAACTAATAACTAATAATGTCAGCTCCTGGCCCTGGAAAAGGAGCAATCTTCATTAATGTGAATTTTGCAGCAAGGAGTGCTTGCTCTGAGGAATGACCAAACACCGGCTTTACCAGAAGTTGAACTGAACATAGAAAACGCTGAATACAACCTAAATACAACCCAAATGAGCACCCTGCCAAGACAGATCTGATGTGCTTCTCCACTATTGCATTCCAGATGTATTCTTCCATTAATGAAATGATGTTCTACGACACAGAATTGTCCCACTGATTCTAATTCTCCTGGTACCAGCCTCACTCTGTAAGCTTATCTCCAAAGCAGATTGCTGAGCATGCAGGATCCAGGATAATAACGGTTCCCAGGGAGACGGGAGACAGCACACAGGAGCTGTACAGAAGGGCACAGGTGTACCAGGGAATTCTGATTTCAGCATAAACCTGCAATAACTCTAGCATTGACACACCATAAGAAAGATGAGATTCTGGTCATGCGAGTGCTGGATGATTGGTGTAGTGCCTTGGATAGCATCAGAGGAGTGTTGACTTAATTTTACTGATGTATAGCACAGTCTGACAAAGCTGACTTTTTGTAACAAAGACCTTGACAGCAACGATAGCAATACAAGAGGGAACAGCTATGAAGTCATCTCCAGAGAGACCCCTCTTATAATTACGATTTACTGTTTATACTGCAGCATCATTAAAGAGAACTAGTCCCAAATCAGGAGAAGACAGTGCCAGGGACGTTATACCTACTGAAAGCACCCATCTGAGGAGAACACAGGGCACAGGTAACCAGCATTTTATGCAATAATCTAAATTCGTAACAGAACAGGTGATAACGCACAGGCAGGTCAGCAGCCTGATTGTACAATCTGGCTAGTTCATGCAGGACTGGTTCCTGGCGTGCCTTGAGACCTGCTCCCCCCTGGTTCAGATGGATGTCAGCCCTATGGCACAGTAGGAACGGAGCGGGGTGTTCCCAAAATGGGGCTGCTGTGCAGCCATTCTCACCTGAGCTGCCATAATCGGAGTCTCCATTCACGCCTTCCAAGAAGGGCATCCGAGAAAGAGCTGGCTTGCCTCGACTTCGCTTGGGAGGCATCAAACCACTGTTAGAAAGATGTGAAAAAGTAGGGCATTAGGAGAAAAGAGATTACCCTTGAAAACAAAGCCAAGTCATTCCTCAGCTCTGTTTAAAATACTGTACTGGTGCACCCTTGACATGAAAAGAACACTGAATAACTGAGGGAAATGCACCAGAAGAGACACATTGATGACAAGTACACTGGACATCACCCCAGTTTTGCCATGAGCAACGGAAGGGGCGAATGGAAACCAAGCTATGAACACGAGGAAGAAACCTAAAGGCTTCACGCTGGAGAGCCAATATGCAATTGGACATATGTCAGCCCATGTCCTGAACATCCTTCTACCTCGTTACTACAAGCATTTCAGAAAATGGACTATCTCCACGTCGAGCAAACCTATTTTTTTCCACTTATTGTAATTATTTCTTTTTATTTGTAAATTTATTTACAATTTTCTAATAACCAGCCCATTCTGAGTGAATTTGGTGCTTAAAAAGAAAAAGTGGAGAAAAAGCAGTAAACAGAGCTGTTCCTAAATAGAATAATTGTACGAGTTATCCACGAGACATCAGTTTGTTTTTAATTCTTTGTTTTGTGGGTGTCACACAGCTCTAATGTAATTTTTGCTATGTGAATTGCTTGCAATTATTGTAATAAGCACTTACATTGCACTTTCCATCTTCAAAGTACTACACAAACATCGACTAACAAGTCCCCACGCTCCCCTGTGAATTCAGATTTTTCTCCCTCACTTACAGATGAGGAAATGAAGGTGAATGTGGTGGGGCCATAAGGCCACAACATGGTTTGAAAGGGAATTTCTGGCTCCTGGTCCTGTTCTGACAGCATCCTCACCCCATGAAGGATTTCTGCATGAGTCAAGAGTTTATTGCAGTAGCTTCTTGTGAGATCTGCATGGGGGTCGTGGTAGTATCCAGCTTACAGAAGAGGCAATGACTGAGCTGCAGATCTGGACACACAGCCCAGAGAAGAAGGGACAGATGGAGAGGTGGGTGGGTGTCCCATCTCAGAGAAGAGCTGGAGGTCCCATGCCTCCAAGGGGCTCAGCATGTGCTAAGAGAGAGAATTTACTGGGGCACCACGTGTTTCCCTTGGGCTGCCCCGCACCTGACTGTGGAGGTGGGATCACTCTGCCCCAGGGAAAAACCTTTGCACCAAACTTGCTTCTCGGAACCCAGGGCCTTGCCCCTTTCCTCGCCATAAAACCCTTTGCAAAAAGAGATATATAATGGAAACACTAATCAAACCTTAGCTACGCTGCAAAATTATACACCTCTCTTGAAAAATAACATTTAGAATCATTCAGCATAGCAGAGCGAAGTTTTTGCCTAAAAAATGCTTCTGGGATAGAACCCCGCTGCAGAATAATTTGGTACACAGCTATTACTTCTAAACTGTAGCCTCAGTCCTGAGATGGGGCGTGTATGGGGAGCTTTAGGATTTTAAGTGCCCAACTGACATTGCAAGCTCGAGGTCTTACAGGACTAACTGAGCACATGCCTTAGGAGGAAGCATAAAATGTCTGAATATATTTCTCTAGTGATGGATCATCGAAGACAGAGGGCAATGACATGTTCAAGGCACTGAAAATGTGCCTAAGAATATCAACTAAGAAAGTCTTGCTTCTGCCTGACCCGGACGATCTTAGCCACCAAGGCTAAATATTCTCAGCCTGCCACTTACAACTCACCAAGACACGATTCTGGCATAACGCAGGTTTTACCGTGTAGTGAAAGGGCAGTGAAATGAGTCAGTGTTTGGAGGGCTGGGCAGGTAGGTAAGACCAGAAAAAGGATATGGTATCCATGTATGCCTACTGCATCTGAGCAAAAGATGACAGATGTTTGCTTTAGGTCTGGTCAGTCCTGTTTGAAGTGCCTGGTTCTGCTTTTAAACCTCTGAGAGGAAGAAAGCAGCAATTCAGTAGGTGGTAAAAGTTCAGATTCACCCACAGTGCTGGGCTGGACATTTGAGTTCAAGGTTTTTCTAGCTTTCATAGAATCATAGAATATCCTGAGTTGGAAGGGACCCATAGGGATCATCGAGTCCAACTCCTGGCTCCATACAGGACCAGCCAAATCAGAGCATATGACTGAGAGCATTATTCGGATGCCTCTTGAACTCAGTCAAGCTCGGTGCTGTGACCACTTCCCTGGGAAGCCTGTTCCAGCGCCCGACCACCCTCTCAGTGAAGAACCTTTTCCTGATATCCAACCTAAACCTCCCCCGTCGCAGCTTCGTGCAGTTCGCTCGGGTTCTATCACTGCTCACCAGAGGGAGGAGATCAGCGCCTGCCCCTTCGCTCCCCTCGTGAGGAAGCTGTAGGCTGCAATGAGGTCTGCCCTCAGTCTCCTCTTCTCTAGGCTGAACAAACCAAGGGACTTCAGCCTCTCCTCATACATCTTCCCCTCTAGAACCTTCACCATCTTTGTTGCCCTCCTTTGGGCACTCTCCAATAGTTTTATGTCCTTTTTGTACTGTGGCGCCCAAAACTGCACGCAGTACTCGAGGTGAGGCTGCCCCAGCGCAGAGCGGGACAATCGCTGCGCTAGACTGGCTAGCAACGTGGTGGCCCTGGCTCTCAAGAATTGCAAGAAGGTATGCATCAGCAGAGACGATGTGTATGTTACACAGAGGCGTAACAGATATCCATTTGCTTGAAAAATCAAGCACTAATTTTGGGTTCTATAGCTTAAGAGGACGGGATGGAACCCAAGAAGCTTTTTGTTGTTAGCGTTAATGCACAAAATAAGTTAACACTTTGGGCTGGTTTCGAGAAAGAAGTCGAACGATAAAACCAGGCAGGTTAATCCAGACACAGAAGGTGTTCTAGGGAACAGTTTCGCATGGGGCACTTACCTGCAGGCTTCAAACACCAGCGCACCGCCCCGGCCAGTGCTACACTCAGAGTCAGAGCTGCTTTCTGCATGCTTCACAAAGCCGTTAGTCACTCCTGCCGAGGAGACAAACGGGAATGACCCCAAAGAACCAGCAGCAACACACAGACATGCTACCAAGGCTCAGGTGGAGTCACTGTCCCATGACTCACAGCCACAAAGATGCTGAGGACTTCAACTAGAGAGGGCAATTCTGCACAGAGTTCCCAGACTCAGCTGCAACCAAAAAGTGACTAATAAAAGGTATTTCTACCCCCAACACATGAAAAATTAGGCTGTCTCTGAACAAGCAAGTGCTGGAGAAGGGCCCAGGGATGGTATAGGAAATTTCCACGCAGCACCCAGCTTGCCGAGGAAGCCCAGAGGCCAGGAAATGAACCACTTGCTCATCTGGCTTCAAGTGTATTTGGAAAAGACACAGAGGCTTCACGCTGACTGCCATGGACTTCTCCCTGCCTCACCACAGGCCTGGCTGCCGGGCTGGTCCCTGCCCATGGGAACAAGCGTATAAAACCATAACTTATTTGGTTACAGGTTCCGTGCTGAGAGAAAACCACTCTAGGAAACACTTGTTGCTTCAATTTCTCAAAATGAGATTTTCCAGTGCACAGAGCAGACACTGAGGAAGCCAGCTCCCCCTGGGTAGAAGAACTCTCCCCATCACCTTCCTCTCCAGCCAGTACAAATGTCACTGTAGCCGTAAGCAGAATATTTCACTTCTTTGCCCCAGATGCCAACAACACTGGAAATCTTCCCTTCCCTGGCAGGTTTCCTGCTCTGTGCACGAGAGATACTGACACAGAGAGCTGGGATCACCTCTGAGCTAAGAGGAGATCCACAGCCAAGGCCAGGCAGGGGTGGACAGGGAATGACGCCCAAGAGCATCCCCAAGCCCAGAGCAGGCGCAAGAAAGCCGATGACCACTGCCTTCCCCTGTCCAGGGACCCATCACCCCCAGGTTTCCTGTGGACTCATCAGAAGCCCATCAGCCATATAAAGAGCAAATTCATGTCAAGGTCCCTATTGTTTTTCCAGCTGTAAATATGGCCACAAGAAGCAGATTTCTGGGAAATACCTTGTTCTGACAATTCTGATCATGCTGACCTGCTCCTGCAGTAACATGGATTCGGCACACCAGACACTCCCTCCAGTTAGGAGAAATCAATTGTGTTTGAAACAGGGGAAGGAGCTGAATCACAAAAGCAGTGCTGCAACTCATAGGAAAAAAACACCAGTGCTGCTTCAGCAGAGGAAAGACGAGACTGCCTATTTATCAGTGATTTTCCAGTACCATGACTGTATTTTTCCTTTTTTTAATTTCAGTCTCTCATTCTGACCTGTATCCACTGTGGGCAACTCCTCTCTGTTTTAATTACTGGCAGATGATGACACTGAGTCCCTTAACTCTTTGGAGAAGCCACTTGTGTTTCCTTTAACCTGCCCTGGTAAGTCAATCCCCACATTCAACTGCTTTCCTCCCACTCTTGATTTGCTAGCAATCTTCTGACAGCCAAATAACTTTAAGATAATATTTGAGCCATAGGCTAAGTCAAGCCTTACAGATGGGAACTGCCCCACGACGGCTGTTAACACAGAATTTAAAAAAAAAATAAAAAAATCACATTGCTGTCTCTCAGATGTTCCTGTTCACCTTGTGTCTTTTCTAAATTTGATCTCAGCTGCTTATTCTTGTTTGCAGATCTAATTTGAAAAGAAACCTGCTCGGTATTCCCACTAATTTTATTTAAACCCCAGAACTGAGGGTACAGATGACGTTGAAGTAATATTTAACATCTCATCCTAAATGGGTGCTATGATTCTGCTCCACTGCACACTTCCAACCAAATGCACCATCTCTGCAGCAGAAGACTCTCACTTCTAAGAGCGGCCGAGCCAACACAAGCCCTTCCACAAGGGAAGGAATGCACACACTT